TACAAGCAATTTTCCCCTTCCCATCTAGAAACTAAAGAAAATCACTGATCAAAAGACACATTGTTTCAAAGTTGTTTGCTTCTATCACAATAAAGGAGAATATTTATAGCTCAGGGTTGAAATGAGGGTTCTTTGGTACTCTCTGAGTTTGGTTGTTTTCTAGGACTGAAGATGTTACTAGTTTGATTATAAAACATTTGCAAGAAAACAGCCAAGATCAGAGAGCACCAAGGAACCCTCCTATATATCACATTAATATTTTTAACATGATGCTACAAAATAAACTCTTGATAGGATATCAGTCTGCAAGGATATATTACCAAGTCACGAAATTTTTTCTACTTTATATTCATGTACATCCTGCCCATGTTTGCACTACATGCTAACTCATGGTTTCTTTAATCGTTTTCTTAATTAACCAATTTACCTAAATGTCCATGCTGAGCTACAAACTAGCCAACTACATTTTATGTTCTGAAGACCCAGCCATATAATGCAAAATATAGAGGAAATGCTTGTATTAGTGAGCTGGTAATAAACAAAGGGTCTTTTTTCTGTCTTATTGTGACTTCTAAATACAACTGCACATAACTAATGCTGGGGTGGGCAATTCTCCTATTCCAGCAAGTTTATTCTTGTGTTCTTAGGAACACTTCTTTCCATCATTTTTATTCTTTGGATATTTAACGCCAAAATTTATTTTTTATTTAAAACAGACATGTCAAACTCGCGATGTATCAGAGCTTTTTTCCCATTGCCAGCAATGGGGTGGACGCAGTTTCATCATGACACGTCCGGCCCATGGGCCGGCAGTTTGACACCCCTGGTTTAAAATAAACATTAAAACTGCTCATCAAGATATTGTTAATGTTTAGGGAACAAATATTTTTCATATTGCTAAATAACCAAAACTCATTCACTATGTCTTGCTCTTTTTAAAGGCAGCAATGGAGAAGCCAATCCATCAACAACTGTTTGTGACAAGAATTATGCATGACTTTGAAAGTGATACATTTTTTCCA